CTTTTATCCCAGCCGCTACGGCGGCGGAGCCAACTCCTTGGCCGATGGTTACAGCGTCGGAGTCGGCGTCGGGGCTGAGATCATCGGTACCTTCGTCCTCGTCTACACAGTCTTCTCTGCCACTGACCCCAAGAGGAACGCCCGTGACTCTCACGTGCCGGTATACCCCTCTCTCTATTTCGGTTTTGTTGTAAGAAACGAACCGGTTCCAAAATATAACCTAACCGAATAACACATATTTAATTGATTTTTTTTTTAAATAAAATGCAATGAATATAATTTTTTCTTTTTAAAATGGATAAGATCAATTCCAAAAAATAACCGAAATCCGAAATGACCGTGCTTCAAGAAATCTATTGTTTGTTTTGATTATAGACTATAATAATTTGGTTTGGCATGGCTAGATATATATAGATAGTCTTGCCTTTGATTGATTTTGTCTTGCCACATGTGTGTGTATATATATATGTCCCTCGTTAGATAGCGTATATGAATCCGCCATTAAAATGAATGACTACGTACTCTTCAATAGAGTCACTAACTAAATTGGGAAAAATAGTCTACGTTCCGTCAAACGATGTCGGACGCTATTATTGGCTTCAAGAAAGATACAAAACATATATAAAAAAAAAAAGCTTTCTAGTTTCTTCTATGTGAAAAACGACAGAAAAAAAGGTGGTGATCTTTTACTATGCCCCATTGAAAAAGGAGATAACTTTTGTGCGCCTCACGCCTCGTAACCCTAGTTCTTTTTGTCGTTTACTGTCCTAACTCCATTAGGAAACCATTCATGTGAACCCATCGCGCTTTTGCCAGAGAAATCAACATCAATGTCTATATTATTGTCCCCCAAAAGAAAAAAATATGTGAACAACGTCAATGTCTTGGTGGCATTTGTAAGTGTGTTGAGTTTCATAACAGCAAAATGTTTTATAATGAAAGGAGTGTGTTTTCAACTGAAGGTACTGGCTCCACTGCCAATTGGGTTTTCTGTGTTCATGGTTCACTTGGCCACAATTCCGATCACTGGCACTGGCATCAACCCTGCGAGGAGTCTTGGAGCCGCTGTCATCTACAACCAAGAGAAAGCTTGGGATGATCATGTTCGTCATTATATATTTGCTATATTATCGTTTCTTTTCTTTGGATGATTTCGAATCGTTTTATCGATCTTTTCCCCCCAATGGTACAGTGGATCTTCTGGGTCGGTCCATTCGCGGGTGCAGCCATTGCAGCATTCTACCATCAGTTTGTGCTGAGGGCTGCTGCAGCCAAGGCTATCGGTTCATTCATGAGCCAATCTCACGTTTGATTTGGATTCTCTCAATTGATTTGTTGAAAAAGCATAAAATCAATAAATAAATCGAATGTATAATTAAATTGGATGGTGGAGATATGAGCTATTATACTTATCATTGGGTTTGAGTGAGATTTGTAGCATATATGCGAAGTCATGATGTTATCGTTACTATGTGCTGTTTGATCCTCTCTCGATCATTTATATATACCATGTCGATGTTTTTTAATTACTTTAATTGTCTATTCGCCTATCTGATTACTCAGAGAAAAACGCATAACTTGTAAAAACTTCTAAATAAATAAATGATTTTAAATTTTGTTAAAAAATACACGTATTTTTAAATTCTTATACTAAATCTTAATTTTTTTAAAAATAATAAAATTAAATGGTAAATTTTTAAATGATTCGTAAAAGCCGTTATTAAATTAAATTCTAAAATTTTAAATAATGTCTAAAAATCATTATAATGTGTTGTTTTTAGACACCCTTTTAAAATTTAGGGTTTAGGGTAAAAATTAAAAAGATTTTATGTATTTTTTTTATTTAAAAAAGTCAAAAGTCGGGTATATATTCAAAATTGCGTTCTATTAATACGTGTAATTATACTTTTTGTATAAAAGCGAAAAAAAGTATAATAGAAAACCAACCCTCATTCACTCTCCAGAATACTCGTCACTGTGCTTCGTCCGCTCCCTTTTCTCCAAAGCAACGCCAAAAATCTGAAACCCTAATTTCACATCATCATCATCAACAATGGCCCCGCCGCTCCTCCTCCTCCGCCTTCTGCCGTTCCGGAGCCCAACATGGTGCCAGAGACGGCGCCGGTGGGCTACCCTCTGTTCTCCAGGATCCGCCTAGCAACGCCGTCTGATGTCCCCTTCATCCACAAGCTGATCCATCAAATGGCGGTCTTCGAGCGGTTGACTCACCTGTTCTCCGCCACCGAGTCCGGACTCGCCTCCACGCTCTTCAACTCGCCGCCATTTCAGTCTTTCACCGTCTTCCTCCTCGAGATCTCCCGCTCCCCATTCCCTCACCTCGCATCCTCCGATTTCACGCCGTTCCTAAAGACCCATAACTTTGATCTCCCGACCGAGGATCCGGAGAGATTGGTGTTCACGTCGGACCCGGGAAACGACGTCGTTGTTGCCGGGTTCGTCCTGTTCTTCCCGAACTACTCGACGTTTCTGGCGAAGCCTGGGTTTTACATTGAGGATATATTCGTGAGGGATTGCTACCGGAGGAAAGGGTTTGGCCGGATGCTGCTAACGGCGGTGGCGAAGCAGGCGGTGAAGATGGGTTACGGAAGAGTTGAATGGGTTGTGCTCGATTGGAATATGAATGCGATCAAGTTTTATGAACAGATGGGTGCTCAGATTATGCAGGAGTGGAGGGTTTGTCGGCTCACTGGAGATGCACTTCAAGCTTATAGCAAGGTAAACATGTAGATTCATGAACTTTGAGCCATCGATCACTCCCATTATTGCTGAGTTTTAATTCTCTTGTTCCTTTCATTGTTCTGCTATGAGATAATGAGCGATATAAATCCTGGATTTTATGGGGTTCTCCATGTAAGACTTGATGATGATAATTTTACCTGCCAGTGATACTGATGAAAATCTCTCATTGAAATGAAACCTGATGTTTAAGCTCTTGATCACTTCCAGTTTTGCTGCGTTTAATGGTGCTCTGCATGTAAGCGTTGATGGTGTGTACAGCTCTATGATGATTGTCTCTGCCAGTGATACTGATGACAATCTTTCATTTAAATGAAATCTGAAGTTTGAAGCTGAAATGCAATTACGATTTCAAAGTCATCTAGGTTGACGAAGTTTGATCCAGCGATCAGACCAAAAAAAAAAAAAAGTTTGAGCCATCGA